TACTCAGCTTCCACCTGTGTCCCCTTGTTCGCGTCCCACCAGTGTTGAATAGTTCATCCTTGTTTACCCGGTCGATTCCCCTGAGGATTGTGTGTGTGTGTGTGTGTGTGTGTGTGTGTGTGTGTGTGTGTGTGTGTGTGTGTGTGTGTGTGTGTGTGTGTGTGTGTGTGTGTGTTCTACGGTACTACATGAGCAGCAAGCTGAGCATGAGGCAAAGTTACAGCCCCGCTCCTGTGCCACTACGGGCTCACCATAGCCCGTGCTACTTGCAACTTTTGTTCCCAGTAGCTGAATCTTAAACAACAACAAGTGAGCATGAGGGTTGTGTGGTGGGGTAGGCAGGCGTGAGGGGGGTGTCAAAAGGTACTCTCTGCCAGGGTGGGAGGAAGTGCTACTATCTCCCAAGGGTGCACCCTGCTCCCAGTGGTACTACCCTGCACCACAATGGTACTACCCTGCACCCCAATGGTACTACCCTGCTCCCCAATGGTACTACCCTGCACCCCAATGCTACTACCCTGCACCCCAATGGTACTACCCTGCACCCCAATGGTACTACCCTGCTCCCTGAACCCAATTTGAACATTATCATTTGCATTTAAAAGTGGCATCAACCTTCTATCACTGATATCAGTGAATTGATCACCAAATATTATATGTTTGACTTTTAAATCACCAATGGTAGGTAACTCTTGCATATATGTAGGAAAAGAATTTGGAAAGTTTGTATAATGAAGGCGGTCATTATAGAGGCGTAGGTATTTAAAACAATTATGTGTAGAATTACCAGCGTGTAGCCGGATACATATTGGAACCTGTATCCGGCTACTGCTGCTATCTGTGAGGTGTGTGTGAGAGGTGCTGCCATCTGGGTGTGTGTGTGGGGGGGGGGGTTGCTGCCATCTGGGTGTGTGTGGGGGGGGGGTTGCTGCCATCTGTGGGGGGGTGCTGCCATCTGTGGGGTGTGTGAGTGGGGGGTGCTGCCATCTGGGGTGTGTGAGTGGGGGGTGCTGCCATCTGTGGGGTGCGTGAGTGGGGGGGGGGTGCTGCCATCTGTGGTGTGTGTGTGGGGGGGGTGCTGCCATCTGTGGGGGGTGCTGCCATCTGTGGGGTGCGTGAGTGGGGGGGGGGTGCTGCCATATGTGGGGTGGTGCTGCCATCTGTGGGGTGTGTGGGGGGATACTGCCATCTGTGGGGGGGTGCTGCCATCTGGGGTGTGTGAGTGGGGTGCTGCCATCTGTGGGGTGTGTGAGTGGGGGGTGCTGTCATCTGGGGTGTGTGAGTGGGGGGTGCTGCCATCTGTGGGGTGTGTGAGTGGGGGGTGCTGCCATCTGGGGTGTGTGAGTGGGGCGCTGCCATCTGGGGTGTGTGTGGGGGGGGCTGTTGCCATCTGGGACGCCTAGAATGGCCGCCCCAGCTGGGTGTGGTGAACAGTCGCTTAACACGCTCATAGATTCTGTAAGATTTAATACCATCGCTTATTATCGGGAGATGTCTTTGCTTCGATCCGTTATTTGCTTATCGAGTTGTTTTTCATAATTTTTCTTTGCCTTTCCGCTACCTCCAACTGTGGTGTCGTGTGTGAGGCTCTCAACCTGCAGGTTTGGAGACTGTAGCTGATATCATGACTAGATGTCAGTGTGGCTTTGATAGAGAAGGCGAGGCAGGTGTGGCTTGACAATTAGTGCTGTCACAGCAGGTGACCCAGTTAGTTTATCTTTGTTGGAGAACCCAGGTCAGCCGGTGGCAGGGGGGGGGGGAACGTGACAGCTGTCAAGCCAGCCGGGGGACTCGGTCAATATGACACTTGCCGCATGGACAGATCTTGGCTGTAGTCAGGTGTGTATATATGTGTCTCGCTACCAGTTTTGTTGCCTGCCTGGCTGCGTTGACGTGGCAGTTCTGACATGGGGGGCCATCTTTCTCCTGTTCAGCGTGTGTACTCCGTGGGTCTGGAGTTCACTTGTAAGGCTGGTTATCCGACCATCGAGATGGTGATGTGTGACATGCTTCGTGTCCCGGTGGAAGCTGTTTACGGTGTGGAGCTAGTTTCGGCCCATCGGGTTGTTATTAAGTTCGTGGGGGAGGACGAGTACCGGGACTTCCTCCGTCGGTACGGGGGGCGTACGTTGCCGTTGCCAGACGATGCCGGCTCTGTGGCGATTTCGGACCGCAGTGGTGCCCTGACTTATGTCAGTATCCATGGTGCGCCCCTGGAATTCCCTGATGACCTCCTCCGGCGTTACTTCGGGGGGTTTGGTACTGTTGTCAGCGTGCGGGTGAACACGCTCTCCTCGGGGCGGTATGCTGGGAGGCGTACAAACATTCGCACGTTGGGGATGAGCCTGCGGTCGGATATACCTTCTTCTGTCCGGCTTATGAGGTACTACGTCCGGGTGTATTATGCCCGGCAGCCTCGTACCTGTTTCCGGTGTGGCCTGTTGGGGCATCAGGCTGCCGGGTGCTCTGAGGCCCCTGCTGCTCCTGTCAACTTGTTCCGCGACGAGGATTTCCCGCCGCTCCCTCTGGAGGCAGTCTCCGGTGATGTTGATGAGGTGGTGTGCGTCCCGTCTGCTGCTGCAGCTTCCCCGGCGGCGCCTGCCGTCCCTCCTCCGGTTCTTGAGGTACCGTCGGTTGGTCTGCCTGATCCTGTCGCTGTTCCAGCTTCTCCCGTGGGGGCCTTCCTGGAGCTCCCTGTGTGACGTCGCTGTCTTCTCCCTCGTCTTCTGATGCTGCGCCTGGCACTGTGTCCGTGACTCGGGTCCCGGATGTGCTTGGTGCTGGGGTGACTGCAGAGCCTCCTGCTGTGTGTGGCCCGGTTCCCCCTGTGGTAGAGGCTGCTGCCGTCCTGGCGACGGTTCCTTCGGCTCGTGGTACCCGTGTTTCTGGGTCACTTACCGGCTCGGACGATATCCGGCCGGTGCCCAAACGTTCCCGGCGTTCGTCTTCTTCCTGGGCCGACGTTGGTGACTTCAGTGACTGTGGGGCTTCGGGTGTTGACAATGTGGATACGGATGCGTCGATGTCTCCGCGGTTCGTGGTGGCGGAGGTCCATGTGCCTGCCGGTGCTGGTGCCTGTGTCTCGGACGTGCCTTCAGTTCTTTCTCCGCCGGGGGACTCTCCGCAGTGGGTGGTGGTGGCTTCCCCTGCCAGGGATGGTGTGGACTCTGGTGCTGGGCGTGGCCTGGTGGTGACGTTACGGAAGGATGCGCGCCGTCCGGGTTCCCTGCTGTCGTCTGGTGGTGTGCCCGGGGCCGCGGGTACCCCTGTGGTGCGGGTGCGCGTTGGGGCCCTGGGGGACGTGTTGCCGGCGTCTGTGATGCCACCGGGTCACTGGTCGAAGATTGCCGAGTTACTGCTGTCTGACGGACCGGAGTGCTTTCGTGGGGGGCAAGTTCCCTTCCTGTGGGGGCGAGTGGCGACTTCTCGCCTCATGAGTACTACCATCTGGGTCCCCAGTTTGCAGGTGTTTGTTGCCCCGGTTCCGGATGTTATGGCGTCCCCGGTGGATGGACGAGACCCTTGGTAATGGGTGCTCTGGGAGGCGTTCAATGTAAGATTCCCGCGGGCCAAGTTCCCGGGCAAGTATGTGCTCTGATTTCTTGTGTATTTGCTCTGACATGCTGTGTGCCCTTCTGGCTGTTTGTTTGCCCTGTTCTATTATGTGCTTCTGCCTCTCCCTTTGTGCGTAGCTTTGCCGTGTGGCATATTAGTTTCTAGTGCTTGGCGTCACTCGTTTCGCGTTTTGGCTTAGCATTTCGCCTTTCCTGGCTTTGCGATTCACCCTTCACGGGTACGCCGGGGCGCATCCGATCCCACGATCGTCGTCGCCCCTAACTCAACAACGACAACACTTGCCGCATTTTATTTTGCCTTTTTTTTCTGTCTAGCATCTCATTTGGGTGTTTCATGGCCTGTGGCACAGCAGCCTCACCGCTCGTCATTTGCAGCAGTTTCTTGAAGCATGATTCCTGCAACATCTCCGCCTGGGTGGGAAATAGATCCTAATTATGGGAGGCTGACGGAAGGTATTGGGGAAAGTACACTTGTTCTGGCGGTGCTTCCTCGCCGGTCGTGTGGGCGAGGGTTACCGTCTCTGCCCTTATAGTAGTTTGTTACAGTAATAATGTCGTGGTGGTGGTCTAGAGCAACGGTCTCGCTTCATGCAGGGCGGCGTTCAATTCCCGGTCGTCCAAGTGGATGGGCACCATTCATTCCCTCTAACGTATCCTAAATCCTTATCGTCATTCCTTCCAAGTGCTATATAGTCGTAATGGCTTGGCACTTTCTCCTGAGTACCTTGCATTAACTTATATTTTCGGAACCAAAGGGAGGGAAACGTCAGGGGAAAGCGCCAAGCCATTACGACCATATAGCACTGAGAGGGGGTCAGGATAAGGATTTGGGATGGGAGAAGGGAGGGGGAGAGGAATGGTGCCCAACCACTTGGACAGTCGGGGATTGAACGCCGACCTGTATGACGAGAGACCCTCGCTCTACCGTCCAGCCCAAGCCGAACAAATGTCCACTCGTAAAGATTTTCATTATTGTGCTTTAATAAAGTGCTATTCTGTGACTCTACTGTGAGGGGACCAGGGAGGGACATGTATGAAAACTTCCCAATCAACTGTTGTTATTGTTATAAACAGCCTCCTGGTGCTTCCGAGCTCATTAACTGGAAATAACGTACGTGTGTGTGTGTGTGTGTGTGTGTGTGTGTGTGTGTGTGTGTGTGTGTGTGTGTGTGTGTGTGTGTGTGTGTGTGTGTGTGTGTGTGTGTGTGTGTGTGTGTGTGTGCGTATATTCAAGCCACAATTATAATAGAGGTCACTCACATACACACCAGTTGTACCCCGTCAAAGCACTAGTGAAAGTTGTAGCAAGAGCAGTAATGTATCTTGTACCTCCCCCAAAAATGTCATTGTACCACTTAAAAAAAAAAATTACAACCTGAGAATAGCAGAGGTTGAGTAATGGTTGTTGTGGTGGTGTTGTTACAGGTAGTGTGCGGGAGTCTGATGATTGGCTGGCCGCGCCCCACCTGAGGTGCCAGCAGACAAGAACAGCAGCAGCAGCAGCAGCAGCAGTCCTCCTCCAGCAGCAGGAGCAGCAGCGTGAGAGACACGCCCCCCAGCTGCTCGTCTCGCCTGCTTTGCCTCGCCATCATGACCAAGTACTTCGACTTCGTGTGGAGGAAGGAGGTCGACCCCCGCCTACAGGAAGGTGCTGTCTTCGACCGATGGACGGAGGTGAGTGTGAGAGAATGTGTGTGTGTGTGTGTTGTGTGTGTGTGAGAGAATGTGAGTGTGTATGCACGCACGGACGCACGCAGTTATAACATTACAAATTTACACGTGTAAAGAAAACGGCTTGCAGGGAAAATGCAGAAGCATATCCGACATTAAAGACTTTCCGCCTATTTAACTTTCTAAAATGGTGTCCCGCAGTGAGCACCAAAGAGGCGCTCAGCCAGTTTACAAGGCGGCGGTAACTGGCAAGGTTAGTGGGCACCCCTGGCCGCCCCACTCCCCACCCCCAACACCAAATATACTTAAACATTTTCGGTCTATTTACCTAACCTAACCTTCTTCAGTGCCGGCTGTAGATGATCCTATACCACCATAGTTGACCGTACTCGCTTGACCGTACTGGTCTATAACAGTGGCTCGCAGTGGTACAGTGGTATAGTACCATTCTCAAGTCGACAATCGACTTGAGAATGGTCCAGGACGGACCGAAACGTCGTCGTCCCTTCACCTTCTAGTGTGTGGTCTGGTCAACCTACTTTAGCCACGTTATTGTGACTCATCGCCTGCACTGGCCTTATTGTTCTTAATTTCTGTGCGATTAACATTTCTCTCGCGATTAATATAATTGTGCCGATTAATATGTTGAGGAATCTTTCTAGGCCAACATTACACCACATCCAGACAGAATCACTTCAATGTTCAAATTGCCGTTAAGATAAATTTGTAGATGTTGAAAGGTCCTTCTGATATTGGAGGGACATCAACGCAACATTCTCTAACATGGATGTTGAACACTCATGGTTGTTAACTGTTGTTAACGGTTATTAACGTGAAAAAGTCTGAATCCTGTTAACAGACTTAAAGCTTTTTCCCTTCTCGCATCCCATGTTTAGCCTTACCTTCCTTAACACGAGTTATCAGGTAGTTTTCCCACATCATCCTAGAGACTCGTTTATTTTCTCAGCGTGACTTTGACTTTTAGAGTTAAGTTACAATCATGTTGGGTAATTAAGCTGACGCCGATTGTGTGTCGTTCATATGGGCGATTTCATTTGATTTCTCGCGTGTCTGAATGCTGAGAGAACGTGTCTGAATGCCGAGAGAACGTGTCTGAATGCCGAGAGAACGTGTCTGAATGCCGAGAGAACGTGTCTGAATGCCGAGAGAACGTGTCTGAATGCAGAGAGAACGTGTCTGAATGCTGAGAGAACGTGTCTGAATGCTGAGAGAACGTGTCTGAATGCTGAGAGAACGTGTCTGAATGCTGAGAGAACGTGTCTGAATGCTGAGAGAACGTGTCTGAATGCTGAGAGAACGTGTCTGAATGCTGAGAGAACGTGTCTGAATGCTGAGAGAACGTGTCTGAATGCTGAGAGAACGTGTCTGAATGCAGAGAGAACGTGTCTGAATGCAGAGAGAACGTGTCTGAATGCAGAGAGAACGTGTCTGAATGCAGAGAGAACGTGTCTGAATGCAGAGAGAACGTGTCTGAATGCTGAGAGAACGTGTCTGAATGCTGAGAGAACGTGTCTGAATGCTGAGAGAACGTGTCTACATGCTGAGAGAACATCTACATGCTGAGAGAACGTGTTCAACAAAATGTCAGCCAAAGTATGAATGGCGCCTTGCTTTCCAGATTCAACACGTGGCTCTTCATGTAGTCCGTCCTCTCCAGCGGTCACTAAACTGATGTATTAAATTGCCTGAACCTTATCTACCCAAGCACTCACGACTGGAACGATCTGAGCCTTAACGATCACTAGTAGGTCGTTGAAGTAGACATTCCACAATAAGGGGACATCACATTGGTACCCAGTTATGGCGTCCGTTCTGTCGGCACTTATTAATTGCTGAATGGACAGCGAGATAGCAAGTGCTTGAAGCTTATAGCAGGCTCTATCTCTCTCTGTCTCTCTCTGTCTCTCTCTGTCTCTCTCTGTCTCTCTCTGTCTCTCTCTGTCTCTCTCTCTCTGTCTCCCTCTCTCTCTGTCTCTCCCTCTCTCTCTGTCTCTCTCTCTCTCTCTGTCTCTCTCTCTCTCTCTCTCTCTCTCTCTCTCTCTCTCTCTCTCTCTCTCTCTCTCTCTCTCTCTGTCTCTCTCTCTCTGTCTCTCTCTCTCTCTCTCTCTGTCTCTCTCTCTCTCTCTCTCTCTCTCTCTCTCTCTCTCTCTCTCTCTCTCTCTCTCTCTCTCTCTCTCTCTCTCTCTCTCTCTCTCTCTCTCTCTCTCTCTCTCTCTCTCTCTCTCTCTCTCTCTCTCTCTCTCTGTCTCTCTCTCTCTCTCTCTCTCTCTCTCTCTCTCTCTCTCTCTCTCTCTGTCTCTCTCTCTCTCTGTCTCTGTCTCTCTCTCTCTCTCTCTCTCTCTCTCTCTGTCTCTCACATTTCTTGTGTGTGCTGGCAATGTTTCCTTGGTGGTGGTGGAGACAAGGTTTAAAGGCTCCCAAATGGTTCGTTGACCGCCGAAGTTTGAACAAAATTATGGCGGCGTCCGACGTCACCGGGAAAGTAATATTTTACCTCTCCATGAAACTGTGATGAAAGGGCGCCACGCGAAATTTTTATGGCGAAACTTCGTCAATAAAGATGTTAATATGAACCATCTGTGGGGCCGTGGTTATCGTCAGGGGCGGGGCGCTCCTGTTCCTCCTCTCTCCCTCTCTCCTTACCTCTCACTCCCTCCCTCTTCTCTCTCCCCTTGCCTCTCACTATCTCTCACTCTCTCCCTCTCCTCTCTCTCCTTGCCTCTCACTCCCTCCGTCCCTCCCTCCCCCCCTACATCTTTTCTTCTCAAGGTCTCTCGGTGGGGGGAGGCTCTTCCCCTTCTGCTCCGCCAGTCATTAATTGCATTTTTAACCCAATTCAGTCTTCGATTTGTTTTAAATATCAGAGAGCTTGTGGGGATGGGGGGGGTGGCGTGTATTCACCTAGTTGTGTTTGCGGGGGTTGAGCTTTGCTCTTTCGGCCCGCCTCTCAACTGTCAATCAACTGTTTACTAACTACACTAACTACTTTTTTTTTCTCCCCACACCCCACACACACACCCCAGGAAGCAGCCCGTAACAGCTGACTAACTCCCAGGTACCTATTTACTGCTAGGTAACAGGGGCATTCAGGGTGAAAGAAACTTTGCCCATTTGTTTCTGCCTCATGCGGGAATCGAACCCGCGCCACAGAATTACGAGTCCTGCGCGCTATCCACCAGGCTACGAGGCCCCTCAGAGAGGGGCCTCGTGTGTGTGTGGGGGGGGGAGGTGGCTTGTGTGGGTGGGTGGGGTGGGGGGGGGGGGAGGTGGCTTGTGTGGGTGGGTGGGGTGGGTTTGGGTGGGGGGGGAGCTTGTGTGTGTGGGGGGAGCTTGTGTGGGACTTGCTCCTCCCACATGAACATGGGAGTAGACGGCTTGTAGCACCTTAACAATAGACGTAGACCTCTCCCTCTCTCCCCACAGTTCATCGAAAGGGTTACCCTACTAACTTCCTTAGAACACGACCTACCAATCGTATTACAACCAGGTTTCAAATTAGTTATTGCTGGGTGAACAGAAACGAGCACTTAGGGATTGGTGCCCAGTCAGTCTTTCCCGGCCAGGACTCAGTCGCTGGACTCAGGACTCAGTCGCTGGACTCAGGACTCAGTCGCTGGACTCAGGACTCAGTCGCTGTCTTTAAATTTACTCTAGGTAATCTTGTAGTGTACTACGTTGTACTCGACACTGTTGCACTGTATGTTGCACAATATACACCGTAAACTTGCATTACATCATTACACTGTACAGTATTATAATGTACGTTGTTACGAATTAGTTGATTAAAGTAGTCATTATTGACTTCAGTCCCGGCCCCCGTTATGCTCATTAGGGGTAATGATAATTAAGAAGATTGGGCAAAATATGCAGGCGTGACTCTCCCAAATGTAATCAAAGCCGAATGTTGTCCCTAATAACCACCTTGGCCAATTGCGTGAGGCCGGGTAACAAGGGATAACACTGACACGTAAGCTGTTAATCGATTCCCAGCACGTGTGATGGCTTCCTCGATTGACACTTACTCACTCACTCACTCACTCACTCACTCACTCACTCACTCACTCACTCACACTCTGATATGAATGTGATTGAATACTATTACACCACACAGTCTGCTTGTAGGCTCCTATTGCCATACCTTTATATAAGAAGGATGGTAGACAGGAGATATTAAATAGTTACAGCCCTGCTCCTGTGCCAGGTACAGAAGCGGGGCTCCTATACCTTTCCCCTTCAGAGCAGGAGAGATCGCTGAAGTAGAGGGAATATAGAGAACATGTACGGCACGCATAGACGCGATAAAAAAGCTAAATTATTGGGATAGTCTCAAAGCCCTCCAAATGTACTCACTAGAAAGGAGACGAGAAAAATATCAAATAATATACACGTAGAAGATACTGGAGGGTCAGGTCCCAAATCTACACAGTAAAATAACAACATACTGTAGTGAACGATATGGAAGAAAATGCAGAATAGAACCAGTGAAGGGCAGAGGTGCCATAGGCACAATCAGAGAACACTGTATAATCATCAGAGGTCCGCGGTTGTTCAACGTCCTCCCAGCGAGTATAAGAAATATTGACGGAACAACCGTGGACATCTTCAAGAAAAAACTAGATAGTTTTCTTCAAGAAGTGCCGAACCAACCGGGCTGTGATGGGCCTGCGGGCCGCTCCAAACAGCCTGGTGGACCAAACTCTCCAGAGTCAAGCATGGCCTCGGTCCGGGCTTGAAGTAGAACAACTCCCAGAACCCCATCAAGCAGGCAAGTCCACTACGGGCTCACCATAGTCCGTGCTAGTTGCAACTTTTTGTTCCCAGTAGCTGAATCTACAACAGCAACAATAGGAGACAGGTCTCCTATTGTCTGGTCTGTTGACGTGTGGATGTTATACAGTGGTGGAGATATGAGGTGCCTGGGGGGGGGGGGGGGGGGGAATGGACCCAAGGTGGACCCAAGGTGGACCCAAGGTGGACCCAAG